GACGTGTTCAGATTGGTGTGCCGCATTACAGAGTCAGTGAAATAGTTCAAGAAGTTCTGGATGCCGGCCAGTTGTTTTCTCTGAAAAATGCTGAAATGGATCGATGCATCGTAGAGGAAAAGTGGCAAGATGCAGGGTTGAATTAGTGAAGCCTTTCAGCATTTCTGAGTCTTCGCATACAAAACAACATCAGTCTGCAAATCACTGAAACTGATTACCACACTTGGCCAACCACTGCATTAAACTGCTGTTCTCAACCTTGGTTCTAAAGCATAATCAACCCCAGGTATTTTACCGCAGGGTCTTTCCAAGCTAGTCGTTGCGAAAGGAATCCCGCAAGGGTTTCCACAATGGGAACTACAGCCCACAAATTTGTTTCAATAAAGTTTTAAGCCAGTGCCGCTCATGCAGTTTCCGATCCCTTGAATGTAGACGAAGAAACGCAGTAACGCAATTATGGATTGTAATCAAGCAAATACAGCAATGTTTTCCGCGTACTCTTACGAAGCCAGTTATGCTCCCGACTACAACAGATCTGCAATCTGTTGACCCGAAGTGTTACTGTACAGTTATATTGCGTTTTCACTGGTGAGTATTAAACGGCCCAAGTAGTCGAAAGACACGTAAACCAAATACATAATTTTTTAAAGATGTTTGTTCATTCACAAATTTTATGCTTCGAATTATTCTGATTTAAATATAATGACATTATGCGTACGAGATTAATTATTTTCGAATTAAGAATTAGCAAGGTTTACGAATAATCCAGGTACTTCAGTATGAAATTTGTTTATTTAGTCTTAGACTCAATAAATATATAATGAACGAGTTTCAAATTAAGTGAATTTCAACGCAGATGCAAGAATATGCTATTTTCACTTAAATGTGCAGTAACCATCTAAAAGTACTTAAGAAAATTAAAGATCATGGATGCAAAAATCGTCATAATCAACAGGCATCTTCACGCAACACCACCCATTTCCTCATATGACATAAGAACGTAAAATAAACCGGTACTAACTTGTTTTGTAGTTCTGACAAGCAAAACTTTACACACGCCTTGATCAACAGCTTTTCGGCAACGGTCTGTTGAAAAGAATGAACTGTATCTGAGTCCGGTTTAATCAAAAGGGAGAGTCGCTGCCGCCGTTTGCGCAACGTCTCACAGTCGTTCGTATATATATACTCCAAGATCTGCTGGAGAATCCCTGGTTGGACGTCCGTGATTTCCAGCGTCGAGCATCGATCATCGACGACGTGTTTAGCGAAGTAGTCACTTCGTGAAGCCAGAATGAACTTGTGACAGTAAAAGTTGACAGCTTCACAGACAATCGTGATATCACTTGTAACTGTCCTCGACGAAGAGCCCAGCACCTGGTCACGGAAGTAGTCGACGAAGCTCGCTGACACGCACGGGAAGTCATAGCTGGAAATCACGTTCGCAAATCTGTCTAAGCATATTGCTGACTGTATGATCGCGTAATTACGGCCGTCGGTGGTCGACACGGCCCTGTAGCCGTAAAGGACACCGGGAATCGTGACCACAGATAATATATAGTATTCTGAAGATAAGTGGGTGGGCTTGTCCGAAGCAGTGAAGTCGAGAGCACCACTGGACAACGACAAGTGTATCTTGTCGCCTTGTGCACTGTTCATACGTCTACAGACAAAGACTATTCCGTGCTCGCTGATCAGTAAGATATATTCATCGTTACACCAAAAACTTTGCGCATACAACGGCAATGGATGTTCGTCGCCACTGCTTACGTCAATGAACACGCATCGTCGTAATCGACGATCGACTTCAGACCAGACGTACAAGTGGCCAAGCTCAGTGAGGATCACAATTTCCACAAGATTACCTTCAGGTCTTCGACATGACTTGCTACCATCAGAAATACCACATTCATAATGCGGGAAACTACTTACCACTTGAATTCTGAACGTCAGAGAGTATCTAAATACAAAACAATTAGTCAAGTGTCGCGTGGATCAGCGTTTTTTTAATTCATAAATTTCGTTAGGCTGAAATGCAAGATCCGCTAACAGGTGGGGCAGAATTTTTCATTCCTTATCGGATCAGGTTGTGCGTACGGAGCAGCACGAATTGCATGCCGTATTTAACCTCCTGTTACTACTTATTCGTTGTACCGTGGTTACACTTTTTTCATTTATAAATGGTCATATTCTTGCAACTCATTCCTTGATCTACTTTAGAACGTGTCAGTCTGTAGCTTACCGCGGCTACTTTACTTCACAGACATAAAGATCCTCGAAAATTCAAAAGTCACTGATAAGGAATTTAACAAAGAATAATGCGATTCTCAATAAAACCCCTGCTTAAAGGAGAATCTTATAAATTGCTGATCAAATTATCCAAAGCATACGGTGATGCAATCATTGAACTGGGTGAATAAACTTTCAGAGCCTAACCTCACCCACATGCTTCGATGCTAAAATAATTAATGACTCGTCGAAAACAACATTTCACGGCGTACTGACCGTCCTTTGCGATTAGCTGCCAAGAGTGCGGTGCCATCGGCGTGAAATCTTGTCTTAGAGGAGCCATTTGTTATTCATCATACTTCCTCGTGAGCAACTTATCATGTTTATGCGGAAAGACTGTTATTAGTGCACTGGCAAGATCCATAAATTTGAAGCGACTGTTTAAAAGACGTAAAAATCACCTGCCTTCGTAAAACACAGTCAACGCTGCATTTCTTAAGCAAAAATATATCGCCAAGCGAAGTAAGGACTACAATGGCGACATCGCAGCAGACAACGGACCTTATTTTGTGAACATGGCCCGACTGTAATTTCTTAACCTGCAAAAAATGGCAACATTAATAAATATGTATAAAAACCAATACTGCATATACTGAAAAATAGCGCAAAACACGATTTGCCAATACATAACGCAAAAGACACTGCGGTCAGTCTGGGCACCAACGTTTTGGACCGTATCTCCGGGCATTCTTCAAGGCAAGTCGGTGAACGTAGCTGGTCGTTCGCAATAGTCAACAGTTTCAGGAAAAAATGCCTTAAGACCTTCAAAAGGTATGGCTCTCATAAAGCACATATTGTGGGGAAAAACGTATTGTCTAATAGCAGCTATTCAGAGAATATCTAGGGAACATATACGAAAAGCATCAGTGCCATAACAGACCAACTGCATGGAACCCGCGAAAGGCCACTGCCACATACGCCCCTCATCAGCCACAGTCTCCATCAAACGTCGCTGCCACCAAAGACCACTGCAGAATCTGGCTGTACAGGTCACAATCTTTTACATTTTTACATCTTCATTTTCCAAGACCACTTCTCCTTTCATGTCACGGAGGAAGACGCGTCATACAGAGCTTTCAACGTTCACGATCCTGTGCCAGAGTCTGAGCTTCAGCAAAAGACAGCTGCAGTCTGGAACAAACTCCTTCCACATATCCGCACAAGGACAATCTTTGCAATCTCTTGGGCCTTATGCTGGTCGGTTTCGCAGTTGCTTCGCCTTCCTTTCTGGAGGCATTCGCAACACATGCCCAACCTATCGCATTTCGCATGACTTATCAATCTTGAGAAGCAGAGGCTGCACACCTAGGCTTTATCGAATGTCAGTATTACGAATCAAGTCAAGACCAGTCAGGTTAGCAAAGCGTCTCAGAAAGCCCATTTCAGCAGCTGGTATCTGGGTTCGAAGCTT